GTCAAGGGTGCACTCAGTGGACGACTCCTCATCTCTCTTATTTAATCACACTATAATTTTTGGCAGGGTATGGTCTCATCCCCAACTTTCATGTATTTATCCAACCTGGGGCAGAAAGCCATGCAGATGTTCCTCCATGAATGCCGTCCCACCCCCACACTTTTTTTTTAAATATACGGAGCTCTTCAATTGCACTGACAGATTACCACTGGCAAGCATCCCAGCCTTGTCTCCTCCTTTCTTTCATCAATTTCGCATTGGGCTTTGAAAAGTGGTTTGTCGCTGGTGGGAACAGCTGGGGCCAGAGGCACGATGATCCAAAAGGGATGCGAGGATGTTATTTTGGCTTCCAGGGAAACATCTGCAACAAGGAGCTCAACTGGAGTCAATTTTGGAATGAAAGCTTTGTGTATGGTAACAAAGTCCGGCACAGCGCGGCAGCAATATAGAAGTAAAGAAGTTAAGACACAAGTAGGAACTGTCTTATTTGATGGGCAAGGTTCCCTAGCTACTCCTCGCAGTTTGCTTGTTTGTTTATTCCGAATATTTATATACTTGTTTATTCCGAATAGTTATACACTACCCGACTGAGTGACAAGCACTACTCTGGGGAGCTGGCAATAAAAGGGAAATTAAACCACCAAGCCCAGCAAGGACAGATCAAATAAAAATTAAACCAGGAACCATGATTGAAACCTAAAGGACGGCAGGGACGTTGACAAGTATTTGGACCCAAGTCTTTGGGACCAAGTCCCCGAACGATCATCTGCAGAGCTAACTCAGGGCAGGAAGCCCTCAACGACGTCTTTAAGAAGCGTGGTCTTCAACGTCTTCTTGGAAGTTGGGAGGGACAGGGGCTGGCGAACCTCTCATGGGAACCTGTTCCATAAGGAGGGGGCCACCGCTGAGAAGGCCTGGTTTTTCTCACCGAGGTCTTCCTTGCCCCTCCCGGCGTGGCCACCCGCGACAGCAAAAGGCTTGCAAGGACCACGTGGCACAAGTTGAGGTTCTGCAGGAAAAGAAGTTACTTTGAAAGAGCATTTTAAAGGTGCTCTTACAGGCATTTTGGTATGATTTATTTCCTAGTTTTATGTCATTTTCTTTCCTGCTCTGAGCCCCCAGACAAACCCCCAATACATGTTACTTTTTAAACACTGTGTTAAGTAATACAGTGTTAGATTATTTGCTAAACACAATAATGAATGAATCACTTTTTTAAAAAAGAAACTTGTTAGATAAAATGAAAAGTGTCAAGACTGGATTAGAAACCAGTCTTTTTATTAATAAACAGACCATTGCTTTACAGACTATAAATGGGACATCATATCCACCAAACATTGCATTTTGTCAGCCAGGATACGCGTCACCCTTCCACAGCTTGAAAATATTGTTTGCGTTAGAAGTCCCAGATCTCCCCAGCCATAGCAGAACCTCCCATCTGGTCGGGGACCTCTGGCAGTGTAGTCAAAAAATCAATACGTCCGCGTTCTGGGCCCTTCCGATGTTGTTGGCCTGCAGCTTCCATCCACCCAACCAATGATAAAGGATGATTATGATCTAACTTATTTGGTGGAAGAGCATCATGGGATATGATGGAAGAGAGTCTCACAATAACCAAGTCTGGCCTAAAAGGATGCAGCCTCTTCTCAGAGGTGGGAAAGCGTAAATGCATCCTTGATGACACGTATGGCCTGGGCTTATAAATAAATACATGTACAGTATTTGGATGGACGCATGGCCTGGGCTTATAAATAAATACATGTATTTGGATGGACGGTGTCACCTGTATTAACGTGGTATTGGAGAAATCTTTGATGCTTTCTGGATATTCATTTTCTCTTAAATTATCTTCCTATCCTATAGGGCCTAACAAAGGGATGATGAAACTGGACTTTATGAGCCTTATGGTGGCTAAAAGTGATACTCCAAGCCTGGAAGAATCTACATCCATCATCCCCTATGCAATGGTCGCAGGATCTGTTACCTCTGGCTTCTTTTGAACCAGCATCAGATAGATGCCAATTTCACGAGGACATTAACCTGGATTTAGAGGCCTCATATAAGATGTATGTAGCAAAATTGTATGGTCAATTTATAATGGTGGTTTATAGTGGATACTAACATGACTGTGTTTACCCTTTTTGTTTTGTTTCCCTTCTTGCTCAGTTCAATGTAATTTTATCTTTTTATGTTGATTATAAAAATAAAAAGTAGAAGGGGGGAAGAGATGGGGGAAGTGTCTTCATTTCAGACCATAATGTTAGAGTCTGGAGGCTGTAGTCCCCAAAAAGGTAAGGTTTGCTTTTGTTGCTTCCTGGGTTCCTAAGTGCATCATTTTTGAAAATATGACATAAGGCAGGTATGGAGAATAAATGGATGCTGTTAGGCTAAAGATCCAGTTACAGCCAATGGAAGTGACAGGGCATCCTCATCCTCATCTTAGAACTGCAGGGTGGAAGGGATCCTACGGATCACCAGGTCAAGGGAATCAAACTCCCAACCTCTGGCTCTGCAGGCAGAGAACTAAACCCCTGAACTATACAGCCATTCTCTGTTGCCAGCCCTTGATTTAGGGCTTTACTCTGAACTCCAAGCTTGAATTGATGGGGGGGAAAAACACCTCTTCTCCAACATCAACTCAGTAAAAGAGACAAGAATGATGTCGCCAGGTAATCCTTTTCTGTAGCCAGCGGCAATCGAGGCTCGTCCTAAACCTGCCACGAAGTGCCATCTGCTGGAAGATCTGTGTGTCTGTCATAAAAAGAGCAAAACGACATCTCACCAATTAGGCAAAATGATAAGAGCCAAAGCATTCGTGGGCAAGGCTCCACTTCATCAGAGGCATGCATTGTTAAGCTGATCCAAAAGTAAATAAACAGACGGTTGGGGAAGGGAAATTGTGGACAGTGGAAAGTTCAAAAGAAATTGATGTTTGATACCTGGCTGAGAGGGGGGAAGAGAAAACCTGTCTCTTTTTTTTCTTTTTTACACACCTGGAGCTTTTAGGGAGGGGGCAATGAAGCTACAGCATCGTATTAGAATTTTAATCTAATATCAGATTCTCTGGGTTTTGGTGACCACTGTACACTAAAACTTTGCCACCTGAACAGTGCTGAGTAAACATCAACTAGAAGTTACAACTCATGAATGGGGGATGAAATCATGTTGCTTAACTCCACATGGAGAAAGTAAAGGGCATAACCTTCATTTATTTTTCGCTGGCCAAAAATCCTAGTCCCAGCTAGGATTCTCAAGCACATGCCAAGCCAAGAATCCCAGTGGTGACTTATCAATTGACAGCTAAAAGTGACGGAATGTCACGTGTTGTCCAATGTTACAGCCTAGCCACTGGATTTCTGCGCTGATTTTCTATTTTTCCTGAGCGTTTCGTTTTATGAGACTGCATCTTTTAAAAATCGCAAGTTTTACTTATTTGAGGAAGGAAAGAAAGTGATTTAACACCCCTAAGAATATTCCCTCCCACTGAGTCATGGAAAAGAAGTCTTGCCAACAACTTACTCCACCTAAGGATTTCCAGACCACCCTGGACAGTAAGACACACTCCCAAAGCAGTAGCTTTCCTTAAGCCGGTGGGGACTACAACTCTCATCAGCCCCATGTTGCATGGGCACAGAAGAGCCATACAAATCCTATCCCAGTCCAATGTTCTGGAACGATATTATAGCTGAAGTCATTGTACTGCCACAGAGATGTCATCCAGCAAAATCAATAATGGACCGCTCCCCTTGTCCAGTTCTTGGCGTAAAAACACCATGAAAGCTGATCTTCTCCCTAAGTCAGAGATGCATCTAGAGTGGAAAAGGAAATAGCTAATCAGCTAAATCGATGAAAGAGTTTTCCTTGCTCAGCTACAGACTGGTATGTATCCATGGCTCATGAAAGGACAGTGGTGCCTCGCAAGACGAAAGTAGTTCGTTCTACGAGTAGCACCGTCTTGCGAAATTTTCGTCTTGCGAAAAGCGGTTTCCCATACGAATGTATTGCAATGCATTCCTATGGGAAACCTCGTAAGATGAACGGTTTTCATCTTGCAAGGCATCAGTCTTGCGGGGAAAAAAATAGTCTTGCGAAGCACGGCCATAGAAGAAGCCGTCTTGCGAATCATCAACCCCATTGCCAAAACTATTCATCTTGCAGGTTTTTCATCCGGCGAGGCGTTTGTCTTACGAGGCATCACTGTAACTGGCTCCATTCTGATTGCACACTTTTGCATCTGGCATCATGCCGAACCACATGCCTGGCAAGTGCAAATGAAGACTGCCTTAATCTCTGACCGCGTCTGGTCATGGAACCCAGGATCCCACTTAAGGAAGGAAGGATGTCCCACAGGACTGATGGTGGCTGACTTCATCTGACACCCAGAACAAAAAAAAAATAGAGGTTTAGTAGTTAGTCAAAGCCAAATAGGCTCTTAAGGCTTAGAACTCTTTATTTTGGAACATCAAACCTTTCCCTGCCAACATACAGTGGTGCCTCGCTAGACAGTTACCCCGCATGACAGTTTTTTTTGCTAGACATTGACTTTTTGCGATCGCTATAATGATTCGCAAAACAGTGATTCCTATGGGGGAATTTCGCTGGACAATGTTTGATCCTTGCTTCGCAAACCGATTTTCGCTAGACAACGATTTTGACAGCTCCCTTCGCGCTCGCGAAACGGGTGTTTACGGGACCTAAGCTTCGCAAGACAGCTATTTAAACAGCTGATCGGCGGTTCGCAAAGCGGCTTTCCTATGGCCAATCTTCGCTAGACAACGACGATTCTTCCCCATGGGAATGCATTAAACAGGTTTCAATACATTCCAACGGGGAAATGCTTTTTGCTAGACAATGATTTTGCTACACAGCGATTTCAGTGGAACGGATTATCATCGTCTAGCGAGGCACCACTGTACTTGCTTGGGCAACTTCCTCACATATTTCTTATTGTCTTTAAGGCTTTCGATTTCTAATGAAGGAATGAAAAAGAAACAGAAAGGTGAACTAAGTCTTTTTATTCCATTTTTTAGATTAAATAAATCTGTCTTCAGTAGAGTGCCTCTCTTTTCAAACCACACAAAAGAGGGGGGAAAAATACATTCTTCACGTATGTACAAAATACTGACTGCTGAGCAGGAACCATTTACAGTGCAAAAGACAAAATATTAACACAGATATCACTACCTACAGATGATTATCATTACCATCTCTACAGCATTCATTAGAACAATTTAATGCTTCTGCGCTGCTCTAAAATGGCGCTCCGGAGGTCCTCATTTCCATCAGATTCTAAAGAATGACCAATTTTAAATGTTTTTACTTTCAAAGAAGGAAGAAGAAAAATTCCTAGAACTGGTTATCAATCTGCATGATCCTCAGACTTACACTCATTTCTTCCTGCAAACTGATTCTAAATCCCTGATGGCAGCCATCTCCTGCGTAATTAAGGAACACAACATATCCCTGTACGGATAAAAAGGAACTAGTTAAGCACTGTTGATTGTTCCAAGGTCCGGGCAAAATGAACACACCCAGATTCGCATGCACACATATACACGCAGGATTGTTTAGAGGCAGTATATTGTTACGTATGGATTCACACTTCCAGGCTGGCGAAGGGATCGTGGTGATCTTTTGTTGTTGTTTTCTCCTTCCTCTCACACCTCCTTTCAGTAGGGAATATCATTCTGGTAGTACTGGATCATGTCATAGGTCTTACTCCTAAAAAAGAGGTGGGGGTGAGAAGGAGAACAGGGTTACGAATGGAACATCCTGAACCAGTCACAACAACAGCTAAAGGACCAAATGTTGAGAAACACTGCAGTAGAGAAGACTGGGCTAGATCAAAGGCCAAGAACGTGACTTACGGCTGCAGATGTCTTGGGAGCTCAGCCTCCAGAAATCTCAGTCAGCATGGCTTAGTGGGACAGGATTATGGGAGCTGGCATCATGAGAGGCAATATATACTCCCAGACTTAAGTGGACAAGAAGCCCGACCAGTATAAGGCAGCTCCTTCTGCTCTTTCTCCTGCGTGGATGTGCCACATCATGACGTCACTTGCCACAGGGTGGCCAGGAAAGAGGGTGATAAAAGTAAACAGACCTACCTATTGCTGAGGAAGCAGTTCTGAATTATCTTTATAATGAAGTTGGCTGCCTCCCGCTCCGTCATGTTGGGGCTGAACCGATTCCTGTTGGAGAAAGAAGCAACAGCAGAACAGGTCAGAAGATGTAGCTCTTGGTAGCAACTCTGGTTTGTACCCTGATGGTCAGACACAGCTTCCTTAGCGGCTGACGTGTATCTGGACTCTTGGCATGTTCACTCGCAAGACCTCAAGGGCATCTGCGTGCAATATAGCCCTGGGAAACATCCAAAATATTTTGTTTTGTTTGTTGGCGGTATTTTTTTTCCTTTCTTCAGTAAACTGCTGCAGTCCATGGTAGCCTCTCTTCCCTTTATCTTCGAAACAACCCTGTGAGGCTGGCCAAGCTCAGACAAAGTGATTCACCCAATAGGTCAGCGCTGAGTTCAAGATGGACTGCCCAACTCACAGTCCAGCCATCTAAGCACTACACCCCATGCTCTGAGTGCAATGAATTTTTAAAAAGAACAATTAATTTGCATCGATACTTTCATCCATGGAACTCAGGGTGGCTCCTCATTAAGGCGCTGATGGGAATCAGATCTACGGAGGGCCAGCTTTGTCATAGTATTTATTTTCAGAGCATTTCCCATGTTTAGGAAGTAGGGAGAGCTTACTTTAGCAGTTTGATTGTCTGTCCTCGGAAACAGGGCAGCCCCGTGTCCAGCATCAGCGTCACTAGAGAAACCACAGCATCCATGTAAGGCCTGTAGAAGTCGAGAGAGAAAGAGAAAAGTTTAGATTTTGCTGCAGTTCAGACACACACAAAGAGAGAGAGAGAATAACAGAGGAACTCAGCTGGGAATAAGTCGCACCTTCTTGCTGTAATCCTCTTCCATTTGCTGATGAAGCTGCCCTGCCACCCACAATCTATCACTTGAACAAAATGACTGAGACAAAGGCAGTTTTGCTCCCAGGGGCTTGGAAGGTGCCACGCTGCCCATCCTCCACTCATACTCCTAGGAGTGGGAACCCTGCAAGGCGGACCATGTTCTGAAGGTAGAAATGCTATGGATCATATTCGGGGAAGCGACTGTAAGCAGCTGTATATACAAAAACAAAGGACCACTTCCACATCTTCATTATTAACCTAAACACTGCTACATGGGCTCCTATTTCTCCTGCCAGCTCCCCAGGCAGTTCCTGCTTCCTTTGAAAACCTGGTGTGTTCTTTGCTCCCTGCTTCTCTCTCCTCTTCTTTTCTGCTGGTGTCTTAATCTAACTTAGTAAAGATAAAGGTAAAGGTTCCCCTTGACAATTTTTGTCCAGTTGTGTGCGACTCTAGGGGGCGATTTCTCCTGCCAGCTCCCCAGGCAGTTCCCGCTTTCTTTTAAAACCTGGTGTGTTCTTTGTTCCCTGCTTCTCTCTCTTCTTCTTCTCTGTTGGTGTCTTAATCGAACTTAGTTACCTGCACCTTAAACTGCCTGAAAATCTGCTCCCATAAAGGACGCCGTCTTGTAGTTCTGCCTTCTAGCCCTACTTCCCAGAACACATTCCTACCCCAACCCCGCCCGCAGCGCCACCACGTCCCTTTTGAATCTAACTTAGTACCTGCACCTTAAACTGCCTGAAAATCTGCTCCCATAAAGGACGCCGTCTTGTAGTTCTGCCTTCTAGCCCTACTTCCCAGAACACATTCCCCCCCCCCAAAGAACTCCTCAAAACCTACCTTTTCCAGAAAGCATTTTTCGAACTCTGAAAAGAAACCGAGAGGTTCTCAACCTGTGAGGTAGGAAATGAAAAGGAAAGGCGCCTCACCTGACAGCCAGGTATCCTCTGACACACATCTCCATGAACCACTTGAAAGGGGTGGCCTCCATCTTCCCACCCATAATCATGACCATCTCATCGGTCAGCTTGATGTCAGGTTCCCAACCGAGATTCCCACCTGGTGAGCTCTCAAACATGAACCCAAAGTCTGTGCCGGCAGCAAAAAATAAAAAATAAAGAGATTGGCAGGTCAGGATGTGTGGGTTGTGTTTTTTTACCAGTAAAAGCAAGACATTTTAGCAAGAGGCTCAGACTTGTAGCTCTTTCTCCTACCACAGCATCTTGGGAATAAGTAGCTCTGCAGATGCTGTTGGACTGCAATTTATGCCATCCCTCACCATTGGCTTTGCTGGCTAAGACTATTAGGAGGGACATGTGATTCCCAACATGTCCAAGTGAATTGGCTTAATCCTGACGCCTTCCATTTTATGCTCAAATGACAGTTTTCTAAAAGCCGAAAAGGCAGAGCCACCGGGGGCCCAGTGATGGGAGCCACAAATATTCCCCATGGTAGCAGCCAAGAGAGGATGCGTAACAGCTGCCTCCAAAAGAGACCCCAAGGGGTGCCGGTCCTCTTGGAAATGAAGTGTTGCCTGAAAACACGGGCAATGTTGTATTGAGGAAGGGGAAACAAACAGGCAACTGACCGATATGAATGAGATGCCCGTGTTTGTCCAGCATGATGTTGCCATTATGCCTGTCTTTAATCTGGAGCAGGAACAGCAGAAGGCTGTAGGCGGCCATGCTGCGGATGAAGTTGTAGCGCGCCTGCAAAGATGAGATGATGTCAGCAGTGCTTGATCAAGAAAGGAAAGAAGGAAACAGATAAGTCGAAGGAAAAGGCAGCAGCAAGTCACTGAGCCACAAGAACAACAGGATGGAGGGGTGACCAACAAAACTGAGCAAGTGAGGCAGGCTGAGAGTGCTGGCATTTCCTCACCCCAGCCGACAATTTCACACCCAGTCCACGCATTCACAAACGTTGCTGCAGTTCAGACTTTCCCAAGCTTCGGTGCCCGGATCTTGCTGGTCTACAACCACCTTGATCATCCCATCCAGCATGTTCCATCACCCGCCGTGTTGGGCAGCTGGAGGCACCCCAACCTCATCTGGAGGCACCATGCTGGAAAAGGCTGCATGGCACCTTTCGGTCCTGCCTCTTAGGAGACGGTGTGGACACCATTTGAAGCGGAAGGGCCACAAACAGGCGGGTGGTTGGAGTGGGATGTCAACTTAAGCCAAGTGGCCCTGCCCTAGAAAATGCGGAGCTCTTCCAGATGGGCAGAGAGATCTCTAAGCAAGAGATACAGAAATCTGATCTAAGGATATCGCCACTCTCCTATTCTGCAAGGATCAGAGAACATGTTCTTCCAGCAAAATCCTTTGGTCAGGAGGACCCCCAGCTTCCGTCCAACAGATAAAATATTAACAGGTGAAGGAAAGTGGGGGCAGCCTTCTGAGAACAGAACTGCACGTTTGGTGATATACCTTTTGGAAAGCCAGGGTGGATTCATCCCCGTACTGTCTTGTGAAGTAGTCGTACATCCCAAAGTCTGTCTGCCTGCCCAGCTGGTCCCGGGACGTACAATCAGGAATGCATTCAATAACACCACACTAGGAAAGAAGGCCATTGTTATCACAAAAAAAAGAAATATGGAGATGAACGGGCCTCAGCTCCTGGATGCAGCTGTGCAGAAAGAGTAGGCCCATTGACTCAGAGGTAAGTCTGGCTTTGCTAAATGAGATAATGAGAGTGGGAGGCGGGTTTCATTCACAGAAATCTACGGCAGCAACTCCAGGATGAACAACCAGGGAGGGATTTTATACCACCCGAATGTACACATGGTTAAAAAAATACTTTTAGCCTTGAAGGTATATGCTCTCATATATTTTTAAAAAAAGCCCTCTTAGGTGCATTGAACTCTATCTTAGTCTTATCCTCTGTCCGATCTGCTGGCAAATACTCACCCCTGGGGCTGTGGCCACTACTCTGTAGGGAAAGACGTAGAGGTCAAGGCCCACCAGCTGAAATATGTTTTTGAAGAGATCAATGATTTGCAAGGCCAGCATATCCTGTTTGGCAACAAAGGAAACGGGTGTTAAAAACACATCGGTCGCAGGAGGATATCAAACACGATCAGGTGGACGAACATCCATGTGGCAAAATATGTGGAAGAGGGTCTGATAGCTCCATAATGGTTGTAGAAAGAAGGACAACCCACTACAAACTGCTGGAAGATTGGCACTTGGGGGAGGGAGTTCTCCGATGTTGCCTCTTTTCCTCTCCTGTGGATGTGCAGCACAGGAAGGCTGTCGTTCCATGAAACATCTTCCTACTTCCAGTCGTCAGTACTAGAAAGTGGATTGTGAGCATGGAGGCCCCAGACCAAGGAGGGCCCACCTCCTGGATCCAGCTGAAACCCTGCTAAGTGAGCCAGCCAGCAGCACATTCTTCCTTCAGCTAAGCAAAAGTAGGGGAGCAACAAGAGGAAACGGGACGACGGGCAGCCCACCTCCATCGCTCTCAAGAGCAAACATGAAGTGCCATTACGGTTGCCGACAACTCGCTCTCTTTGCCAAGAAAGCCCACCTGTCTGCAGTCATCGCCAACTTTAAAGATGGCTGCTTGCCAGCAGACCTTCTTGCTCTCCACCCCGTCTTCTCCGCTTTCATCTATTGAGTCCGAACGGCAACGCAGACCTAAAACCAGAGCGGTGCACAGATTAGGCTGATGGACTGGGATTAGAGGAGGCTTCATTCAAATTCCCCCTGGATCATGAGACTCACTGGGTGACCTTCGGCCAGCATCTGAGTCAGCCTGCCCTACAAGGATGTTGGGCAAATGAATATGGGGAGAAAAGCTATATACACTGCCTTTAGCTCCCTGGAGAAAAGGGAACATGTAGGAAAGAAACAAAACATTCTATATTTGAGTTCAAATGCAGAACCTGCAAAGGCTAGAATTTACCACTGCTTGTAAAATGACCCCCCTGCTCTTCTGCTGCATCATGAACAATATTGAGAAGGGGCAAATGGTACATTAGACAATACGCACATAATAACATACAAAGATGCCTACTGACTACTGCAATAATAAACGGGGGGGGACATTAAGGGAACAAACAGTGCTTACTCAGAAAGAGTCTCCTGCATTCAATGGGGATTATTTTGTATTTAGGAAATATTGTCTGCTTAGGAACATGCCTTGCTCGTTTATAGACAGCTCCACCATCAAGCCTGGACACACTTCCAGGTTTCTCTGGAGCATCATAACCACTGGCTGTACAACCACAGAATGTTGCAGTGATCTGCAACATTCGGGGAGCGACTTCCCTGAAAAGTCACAATCGCCACCATTTTCTGTCTAGGAAACAGCAGGTCCTGGCAGAGAGGTCACATTTCTTTCGACAATTATGGAGTTTTGCAGATCACCAAAGTCCAAGAAGGGACCCCCAGCGATCTTGAACAGAACCTTTGGACATCTACAGGCCCACTGGCCTTTGAGATGATAAACACCGACGTTTGCCAGTAAGAGAAAATCTCTACATTTCTGAGGCACCACATCAGGAGCGACTGTACACACCTTCTTTTTCAAGTTCACTCACTCCACACCGCTTCACTTTAAACTTCGCAAGGTAAGGGGCCTTTGCAGCACTGAAAACGCAAGGGAGAACGGTCAGAAGCAGGCGGTCCATAAAGAGAGACGGTGAGGGGGAGGGAGGGGAGAATCATCCCAGATCTTGTATTACTGAAGGGCAAACACAGGATCACCCCTACCTTTGCATGGGGGTTCCCGACTTGTAGTCAATGTCCAGAACGATCGCTTCAGGGTTGCTGGGCAGGTAACAACCTATGATAGAAGGAGGGGGGGAAATTCCTAGATGAGGCAAGGGAGCTTGCCAAGCCCCTGGGTGAGGACCGCAAAGTCTCGGGAGACTCCGGACGACACATTGATCCTCTTGCTTTACAAATTGTTAACACAACAAGGATACAATTGTAGATATTTTGTTGTTGTTGTTTAGTTATTTAGTTGTGTCCAACTCTTCATGACCCCATGGGCCAGAGCACACCAGAGATTTTAGGGATATCCAAACTGTAGTCTGGATTTTTTGGAAGGAACTCGGGTTCCTATCCATCATAACACTTAATTCCCATATAAAAAATACTACTCTTTCTTTCTTTCACGCTGTGAGATTCTCAGTACTGAGAAACACACTGCTCAGTTTCTTAACATTTCTCCCTCAGATCGATATGGTTGCCCGTATGCAACCCATATGCAACCCAGTCTGGATTTTTTGGAAGGAACTCGGGTTCCTATCCATCATAACACTTAATCCCCATATAAAAAATTACTACTCTTTCTTTCTTTCTTTCTTTCTTTCACGCTGTGAGATTCTCAGTACTGAGAAACACACTGCTCAGTTTCTTAACATTTCTCCCTCAGATCGATATGGTTGCCCGTATGCAACCCATATGCAACCCGAATGAGCACCCGTCGCCTGTCCCAGCTCCTCGCCAACCTAGCGGTTCAAAAGCATGCAAATGCGAGTAGATAAATAGGGACCACCTCGGTGGGAAGGTAAACAGCGTTCCGTGTCTAAATCACAATGGCCACGTGACAACGGAAAGATCGTCTTCGGACAAAACGCTGGCTCTATGGCTTGGAAACGGGGATGAGCACCGGCCCCTAGAGTCGGACACGACTGGACAACAATTGTCAAGGGGAACCTTTACCTTTACCTTTATGCAACAGGGGAACGATGATGAAATATATGGGAATGATCATTCTTTCCTGCCAACATTTTCAGCCAGAAAATTTTTAGGAACAGGTTACGCGGTGATCAAAAGAGCAAGCCATTTCTGAGGATTTTAAAACCCAAAAGATAGGTCACAAGAAGTTAAAAAAAGAGACGGTGAGAAGGGGAAATTGGAAATTGAGGTATACCAATTCTTCAAGTTACACAGAGGTGTTTAAAATGACAAAACAGAACGGACACTATTTAGTGACCGAAGGCACTGAGGGCTTGGCTACACAGCTCAACTGCAGCAGGCTGAAGTGGGTCACTTAAGGTTGTGGAGAGATCCGGTGTGCCATTTGGTGCGATCCTTGCATCTAGATGGCATACAATCCTCAAGGAATCCTTTTTTGGCCGGACTCTTAGGAAAAACAAAAAGCAAAAACAAGGTCGTTCTCTCGGCCCTCTCCTCTTTCATGGGGGAAGTTTTCAATTTGTTTTTCTAAGAGGTACAGCACATTAGTGCTGTTCTAATAGACTTAAAACTTTTTTTGTTCCCTCCTCTGCCATTTCTACGGAGAAGCAGAGGATGTTACTAATTTACCATTATCATGAAGCGACTAACCTGTCTTCTTAAGCCACTTCGTGGTATTAGAAAATTGAAAACTTAAGGGAAATGTAAAGTCGTAAGCTCCACTTTGGTTTGATCCCAGCAATGGCATGTGCTAGAAACAAACCAAAAGGAAGCAATCCTACCTGCACCAGGGGGGGGACCCTGTAATCCTTACAGAGACTTAGAAAAATGTAGATAGGAACGCTCTGCGGGCAGGCAGGTGGGCACTGGCACTTGACTTGCCTAGTTGCCGGCAACAGGAGCGAACAAACAAACCAAACAGCAGGGCAAATGCCCCGGTAGTCAGCCTCTTGGTTGGTTTGGTAGTAGTAACCCTCTCTTAAACACAAAAGAAAAACAAGTTTGGGAAGGTTTGTCCCACCCTGGATGGTTAGCTTGGGAATGTTTTTCATGAATCTCCAACATTAAGGGAGAAAAAGCAGAAATGGAGAGAAAGGAAGCCGAAGTGACGCTTTCCACACATTGATGACATTAAGGATAGTTAAGACTCTTACCAGGCTGCACTTTCACTTCAGATAAAGCACTCAAGCAAGCTTTCTTTCTTTCCTCGCCTTTAGGAAAAGGCCTGTGGAGACAAAGACCTGTTTTGGCAACTAGATAATGAGAAGCCACTATGTCATCCGCGTTTCTTAAAAATACATTTCATGGCAAAAGGAGAGCAACTGGTACACGGAACTAAAAGTCAGCCTTTGTACACTACAGCCTCATAAGTTTTTGTAAGCTGTACAAAGTCCTACAAGTTCTGCAAAGTGTTTGTAAGGAATACCCAAAGTAGGAAAGCCAGATCAGAACCTAATCATGGGGAAATTCTTGGAGTTGTACTACAGACGCCTATCAAAGTCCTGTTTCTTAAATGTCTATACAGTAGGACCCCTCTATCCATGGGATCAGTATCCACTGAGTCACTTATCCGCTGGCTGAAAACACTAAATAAAAAAACCTCAGAAATACCCATTCAGATGCATTTCCAGGGTGTATTTACCAGAACTGGCCATGAGAGGGAGCCAAAGACCAACCAATGCATAGCACTCAATAATTGTATGTTTTTCGGCATCTGTGGAGGTGCTTAGAACCCAGGGGGATACCATGGTCTTGCTGCACTTACTTGATGATGGCGGAAACGTTGGTGATTTTATTGAAGAAATCAAATTCCCGTTGGTAGAACTCCTTTGCGGGCCCAGATAACGAGCCTGTTATCTCCTCCATCAGCTGCTCCAGCAGCTCTCCAATGTCGGCTGCAGAAAGAAACCATTGGAGGAAAACGCATGAGACGTTTGCCAACCAAGCTTCCGGGGACCATTCCACCAGACATTTGCTTTGCCACTAGCAAAATCCAGGGAAGTGATTTGCAAAAGCACTCACGGTCTTTCTGGTGCGCCTCTTCATCCATGTAGATGTTCGTTTTCATATTCCAGATGAACTGGTGAGCCAGGAGCTGGGATTTGGCTGCTGCCCACAGGATGTACTCCCGCACGTAGCCCATCTGGGAAAGGTAGAGACGCACAGAGCATGACCCTAGGAGCAGTTAGTATACAGTGGTGCCTCGCTAGACAGTTACCCCGCATGACAGTTTTTTCGCTAGACATTGACTTTTTGCGATTGCTATAGCGATTTGCAAAACAGTGATTCCTATGGGGGAATTTCGCTGGACAATGTTTGGTCCCTGCTTCGCAAACCAATTTTCACTAGACAACGATTTTGGCAGCTCCCTCTGTGCTCGCAAAACGGGTGTTTTCGGGACCTAAGCTTTGCAAGACAGCTATTTAAACAGCTGATCGGTGGTTCGCAAAGCGGCTTTCCTATGGCCAATCTTCGCTAGGCAACGACGATTCTTCCCCATTGGAACGCATTAGACAGGTTTCAATGCATTCCAATAGGGGAATGCTTTTCGCGAGACGATTTCGCTAAACAGTGATTTCAGTGGAACGGATTATCATCGTCTAGCAAGGCACCACTGTACTGAGACCAACCATTATCAACATGCTGAACAGACCCCACCCACTCCCCTATGGACCCATGTGCCCTGTTAAGGCATGCCCTCCTCCATCAGAGGGTCTCCTTGGGTCCCTATGTGGGGAGGTGATGCGGGTCGCAAGTGGAAAAAAGCAGCTTCTCAGGCACAGCATCTCAATGGCAGGAGGATCTTTTCATTCATTCACCCTCGCTTTGAAAGGACCAATAAATCTGCCACCAGCACAACTCAGCCAAAAGAAAAGCCAAAAAGGGATGGCTGTTCACCCTCGCTTTGAAAGGACCAATAAATTTGCCACCAGCACAACAGAAAAGCCAAAAAGGGATGGCTCGCACCACATATTGGAGGAACAGGAAGGAGAGGGAAATCCTTGCCTTTCTCATGATGCGTTCTTTATACTCACTGTTCATGTGCTTTAGAGCTCAATTTAAAGTGGTAGTTTAGATGTTTAAAGTGTTAATCATTTAGAATTAAGTTGTTCGAAGGACCACCACCACTAATATGAATGTGCCCATCTTTAAGTGTGGTCTCCGAAGGCCCACACGTTTGCTGGTCCACAGTTGAGAACCATCAGGCGACAAGCAGGCCTTACAGACACGGCTTCTCAGTGATGGCCTTACAATTCTCTCTGCAGAAGAGAGAAACGTGTCTTCTGTGCCAACCTTTTCAAACCTATCTCAAAGTCATTCTGCTTTTCTATGGGCATACAGAAGGGATGGGCAAGCTCCAGGGTTCACACATACCCTCCTCTGTACAATGGTGCCTCGCTTATCGAGCACACCGTATAACGATGAATTCGCATAGCGATCCCTATTCTATGGGCATACAGAAGGGATGGGCAAGCTCCAGGGTTCACACATACCCTCCTCTGTACAGTGGTGCCTCGCTTAACGAGCGCACCGTATAACGATGAATTCGCATAGCGATCCCTTTACCGAGGGTGCGAAAATGGTTGCAGATGGGGAAAACTTCGCTTAACGGTGAGTACAGAAGCCATTGGAACGCATTAAACTAAGTTTAATGCGTTCCAATGGCATTTTCCATCCCGTTTAGCAATGTTTTCTTATAGCGATGGTTAATCCGGAACAGATTAACCTCGCTATGCGGGGCACCACTGTACCTTGGAAGTGCCAAGCATATACCTGCAACCACAACCACAACCCCCAAATATTTCTCTCTACAAAGCCTGTTTTGTTTTGTTTTTGTTTTCTAAAGGGAAAGAGCGCTCTCACGTCCTCTCATAGCCCATGTACACACCGTCCAGAAGGGTACAGTATAAACTTTCCCTTTCCTTACCTTATCATATCTAAGAGCCTGGACAATCTGTGGAATGTAAAATAAAATTGCATCCTGGGAACAGGGAGAGAAAGGGAAGACACACAGAGAAAAAGGGTCAGTTTTTTTTTAATAAGAAAAGGTAAAAGAAATTCCTCTTAACAGCATCAACAGAAGAGACTATATAAGCAAATTTGGACTTCAGGAGTACTGTCTCCTTAAGGACGTGGCCTCTTACTAATGATTACCCCGTTTTTCTCACACATGACCCACAAAGAGACACATGACTAGCCTATTAAAAACTGTTAGCTTGTGAAATGCTAGTAGCCCGTGTTTCTGGGCTGGTTGCGGAAGGAGGTCTTTTAAAAACTTTCTGGCAAATCAGCCAGCTTCTTACCGGAGGGAAAGACCGAAGGACCTTCACTCCATACTGAGCTGTTAATGGGTGAGGCGGATACATGCTGGAGAAATAGGATAAGCCCGTGGGGGGATCTGTCGGCGTCCAGCACAGGATGTAGCTGAGTTCTGGAGCATCCGCATCTATGGTGTGCCACGTAACAAGATACTGGAAGCAAGAGGGAGGCAACAGAGGAATCAAAAGAGAATTTAGAGCAAAAGAGAATTTAATGCAACAGGTCAAACCATGAAAGCGTCAACAAGGGAGGAGCAATATCCCGCTTTTCCCTACTACTCAGTTCAGTCTCGGGCTCCCTCAGAGCCACTCATGGTTCCAACTGAAATTCATGATAATTACAAGAATCGATAACATAACCCTGCAGAAAAGCAATATCTGGGAGGATGTGAGTCATAATGCGACACTGCAGCAATTTTGCTATGAGGCCTCTGGCCAGAATAGTGTGGACCCACGATTTGTAGACCTGATGAATTACTATTTAGCCATTCATTTAACATGGACGCTAGCTGGGAACATCAATCGGAGGGAGGACTCTCTTGACACTGATTGAAACCAATATTCAGAGGCGAGCGAAGCTAAGACAAAACAAGTACTAATTGAAAATGACACCTGACCACCTGAGCCAGATTTGGACTACGTTTAGCAAGAAGTACTTCTGGGGCCTGAAGTGAGAGCCACGAGTTCTCATCACAAGGCAAACTATACAGAGACACCCACCTTTATGGCTTCAGGCACATCGCTAACGGCTCCCGGGTCCAAGCGAACCAGCCGGGTCACTTCCATGCCAATGGCCTCCGTGTTCTTAAACCTACGGGGTTGAGCGTGTTACTGGGCATATACGACGTGCCAATGGCCTCCGTGTTCTTAAACCTACAGGGTTGAGCATGTTACTGGGCATATACGACGTAGTATGACCCTCCATTTTTCCCTTGATCTTTGCCAGAAAGGGTTATTAAAGACGATATGGTCCCCCAACCCAGACTTAAAGGAGAAAAGGTGGGAGAAGTTAGTTTGGATTTCAGCTCTCAGAATTTCTCAGCCAACATGGCCACCGACCATCCTGGCCATTCTGGGAGCGACACTTCAAAACTCCTCCCCCTCCCCTCGCCAGGCTGTGAACGTTTAAAGGACGGGACTCCAGCTCCGGATTTTGCCTCGAGGTTAACTCCTGAAGCCTTTTCCATGAGTGGATATAGCCACAAGGCAGTGGAGGTTTGAAATTGGAGTTTCCCTTCTCCTAGACGGGCTGCCTTCCATGGCTGACGAGCCCCACCTACCCGGACGTAGTATGACCCTCCATTTTCCCTTGTTCTTTGCCAGAAAGGGTTATTAAGGACCATATGGTCTCCCAACTCAGACTTAAAGGAGAAAAGATGGGAGAAGTTAGTTTGGATTTCAGCTCTCAGAATTTCTCAGCCAACATGGCCACCGACCATCCTGGCCATTCTGGGAGCGACACTTCAAAACTCCTCCCCCTCCCCTCGCCAGGCTGTGAACGTTTAAAGGATTAAGTGGGGGTGGGGGTAAAAGTGCTTCTAAAATTGAGGCTTTAACAACAGTTTACTACAGTCATTGCAAAAGCCAGCTCTTCCGCTGAGGAAGGTTGTTATACCATGACATTCTGACAACTGAATGTGTTTATGTTACAGTGTGTGAATATGGAGGTGGTATCTGCAGGCCGTACAGCTTGTACTCATTGTAGTTCTGACGCCTTGGAGCTACACAATCCTGGAATTTCAAGGTCCTAGTATAAGAACCCTTTATTCCTAGAAGCTTTGCAGAATCGTAGTCATAATCGCAATCACTAGGAGGAGGATTTCTATGACATGCCGTTTTTCCCCCCTGCAACATATGTTTGAGCTTATGGGTGGGTTTGAACATGTTTATGAGTAATCTGGTGAGAAAGGCCATAAACGTGTTTGAACTTGCTTATGGGTTCAAATGTAGGTTGCAGAGAAAATGTGACATGTCATAGAAATCCTTCTCCTAATTATCACCATGGTAACAACTTGCCAGATATTAAGTTATAGACACACACACACACCGGATTACAAATTCTGCAGAAACAATTGAGGTTCCTATTGAAAAAAAATCCTGACTCTCCAGCCCCCTGGAAAAGACATTGTTTACAGATTGGGGAAGGTGTGAATATCTGAAAGATTTACAAATATAGGGAAATAGGACATACATATAGGAAATCTGTGTTCAACTCATCAACCAAACAAGGCTCAATGCTACACCACACACACACAGGATATTAGCAACAATCATGCATCATCACAGCAACAACAAACATCATGGATTTCCTCCAGAGATTCAATAATAGTTGCCATATTTTACCGTGTATCAAATGACATTTTTCCCTAAATCATTAGAGGAAAAATTGAGGGTTGTTTTGTACACGGAAGGAGGTGGAGGTGGAGACTGCCTCCGCCACCAGACTGCCTCCTCCAATATCATTCACGGGCTCCCTTTGGGCAGGGGACAAGGGGGCAATGTGATTGGGCAGTGGAGGTGGCAGTAGCAGATGGAGGCGGAGCCACCCCTTGCGGCTGCCCATTGGCTGCTCCTCCGCCTCTGGCAAGGGACAAAATTAGGTGGTCTTCATATACATTGGGTGGTCATATCCATGGAAAAATACGCTAATATTTTAGAGTTGTATTCTCTGCTTTTCCAATGTGCCTTACTAGGCTTTAAGCTCTTGCATTTTTAGAAGGCATGCTCCAGAAATTTTGAAACATAATGATAACGTGACTTAAGTGTTTGCTTTTCCTGCCTACAATTTTCCACAGCTGTAAAACGTTTGGATGGTTTAAATATTTCATTTTGGTCTGAGTCCACAACGCCTTCGCTGAGCCTTGGCTTTTGAAATGTTCACTCTGTCTTGAACTGCATGTCCAGTTGAGACAATGACGAATTTCACCTCACTGGGATGAAAGAAGCCACACCGTCGGTAAACAAGGAGAAGCTGGAAGAAGGCTGATCCGACAGAGAAGTAGCAACGGCATTCATGAAAGTCTCTGTTAGAAAATGCAACACTCACCGGGTGGGAAGCTGGACAGCCAGGTAAGGAGAAATACTCCACGCCAGGTTCACATTATCTTTCCACTGCTTCTCACTCAGACTGATGTACTTCGACCTCCAGTTGGCAACGCTATTCTCTCCAGTCTGGTCTAACTCCAGCTCCGGGGATGAGAGCGGGTTGTACCATGTAATGAGCCGTTCGATTTCGGTAGCCTTCAGAAGACCAGGAAAAGGGGAGGGGGGGAAAGGAGAAGAACAGGGTGGTGACGAGACCATGAAATAAAAGAAGGACATGCTGAGTGGCAGAACGTGTGTGCTTTTTGCATGCAGAAGATACCAGGGGCACGGGCCAGCATCCATGGGTCAGAAGATCAGCTGAAACGGATGGGAAAGGACCTTTTGGAGAATATCTGGGGAGCTCCTGCCAGTGAGCAAGAGGAAAGCAGGTGGATAAATAGTCTTTAAGATGATTTCCCACGTCTCTCCCCAATCCTGAAGCTCGGGCTTAGTTTCCTCTTGGCAGAACTCAGGAAATAAAACCCCCAAAGAGCCAACTTATTCTAGTGGAACGGATGGCCTACCAGCAGGGAGAGGAGCAACGTCCTCCTTTTCATGTAGTACTTGTGCAGTTGGGTCCCTCTGTTGGTCTTCTTAGACATCCCTTAAAACAAACAAACACAGGAGATCTTCTCAGACACGTTCACATTTGGTTATACAACAAGGTTTCACCGAATCGTTCCACAGCACGGAGATGTCGTACGGATGGCAAGAGAAATGTTATGACTTGTATCCTTCGTGATACATCTGCTCAAGTCCTGGAGATACTCTGCCCATGACTATGTGATCAAAGGCTTCAGGATTTGCTGCAGGTGAAAAATGGATGAATTCACCCTTTGGGAAAAAAACAACAACCTCACGACGCAAAGGCCAATTCAAATCATTCCAGCTCTTTTCGATCCGAATGCTTTGTTTTTCCTCTGCCACTGGGAGTTTCTGCTCTTTTCAAACTGGAACGATTGGAACAGACCCTCCCCCATCGGATTAATTGTTTCATTCTCCAAAAGGACAGGGGGTGTGCGTGCATGACCATGGACAGTATTCTGACGGCATGTTAATCTGGGTGTGATGTTTTTGGACAGCAGGAACACCTACCCCCGCCCCCTGCATCGCTCTCTCTAGTTGTCCGGCAATATTTCAAATTTAAAAACCACAAACTACTGAGTTTAGTGTTAGATTGCCTTATCGCTATATTGATATACTAGTTTAGCGCTAGATCACCTCTGCATAGGCAAAAAAGAAGATAAAAATCAATACGAAATAGAAACGAATCCCATGAACTGCAGCAGTCTACGACGTCTCTGGCTTATGCCCCTGTGTTTGTATGTAACGGAGACTTTGGAAAACTGTCCCTTTTTCCTAGTGCGGTGCAACAGCCTAGAGGCTTTTACAATGAACTGTAAAAAGAGAACAGGGGATTGGCAGAGGGCAAGATCCAAGGAAGGGGGTGGGGCTGTGGGCTGTGCACAGATCAAACCACATCAGACCGAGAGGCTAATGGGGTCACTGGCACCTCACCTGAAAAGAAGTATAAAATAGGCTACAAATCAAGCGGCAACCAAGCCGAATCATTCCAATTCAGCTTGCTACTCTACTCACAGGCCCTGCTGGACCTGGAATGACAGGTTCACAGAATATGTTAACCGTTCCGGTTTCTGAGATGAGAATGCACCCACGTTCACCTCCTTGCATTTCCTCTAAAACATTGCCGAGCTGGCAAGATCTCTGTTTGAGCTTCTGTATACCTGCTACCAGACAGTGCAGATAATACTGGATCAGTGCAGCGCTCTTAAATCCCTTAAGAGATTTCTATTAGGACCAGAGAGATTCTGGTTTGAGACACCTCCTCTAAGTCTTGAAAACTCACTCACCTTAGGCCAGCCATAACCTACGAACTTTACTCCGTTCATGCTATTCTTGGGACTCTAAAATGGAGATGGGTGGGAGAACATGGAGGCAGCTATCGTGCGCCCTGTAGAAGGCAGGCAGGGTGCAGCCTAAATAAATAAGAGGTTAGTGATATTCTGGATGAAGCAGCCGCACAGGCGACAGACCTGACTTCTTGGACATGGTTGACATGCCACTGGACAAAGGGTATGTATTTATCCAGCCCTGCGTGGCTTGCTGTCGCGATCCAACGGTGATGTCCAGGTTGCTCCGTGCGTCTTGATTATCTAAAAACGAAAATTTTCTGTCATTCAACAAAGTAACTAGGAAAAGGGGAAGGGGAGAGAAAAGTTCTTTGCATTTTCCCGTTTAAGACTCACCAGGTGGCACAAGCTGGCTGGCCGTTAAATATTTCTTGTCCGAGAACATCGCAGTCCAAAATTTGATTAATATGATGATGTCCTCGCGCAGCCTCTTCTCCCCTTGGGTCGGGCACTTCGGGGCGCAGCTTAAATAGAGCATCCAGAGTTACACAGAGGCTTTGGGTAAGAGGCGAGGGCTCTATCTGGGCCTAATGCTGAAGTACAGTCAGGCTTGTACTCTTCCCCCCAATGAGACAAGAGCCACCTTTAAATAGCTGAAAGGCTCTTAGGCAGAAGGTGGCAGCTCAAGAGGACCGGATCAGAAGGAACAGATTCAAGAGGCAAGAAAGAAGACATCAAGTAAGCATTAGGAAGAGCTTGCTAACAGCGAATGAAATCGGCTGCTTCCAAGAGTGACGGACTCTCCATCATTGGAAAGTTTTAAGGTGAGGTTGATCAGCCACCTATCAGGGAAACTTTAGCTGTGCATTTTTTTGCAATGGCAAGGAGGACGGACTCAATGATCCTTGGGAGTCCCTTTCAGCTCTACAATTCTATGATCCTTCCTCTCTGTGCAGTCAAGTGGAGAAGCCCCACCCCATCCTGGCCAAATTTCAATTAACCATGGTTTACTGTTGCAGCTGAACCTTAAACCATTGTTAATCCTGAGTGTTTGTGACAGCCTTTTGGTGGTCTTTTTTAAAAGGCCACTGAAAACACAAACCTGCAGCCTTCTTTAATATGAGTTGAGCTTAGGAAAGGCGTTGTTTTAGATGACCGTTCCCAGCCCAGCCATGATGGCTTGGACATTCTGGGCGCTATCGGCCCAAAAAGTAATTTTCCGAAGCTTTTAATGAGATGTCTTTCATACTAACTTCCAGGGCAAACAAGATAAAACATATAAGGATGCAAGTATGGATCTTTGGAAGGTGGATCAATTTGGATTATTTCGTTCACATCAGGTAGGTGAGACAAAACCATTGCCGTACCTGAAGTAATCAAAAGCCGTGGAATAAATCTTCTCTCTCAAGACGTTACGAATTGTCGCATTTGGAACCACGTCGGCATGGAGCAGGGAGAGTCCCAAGGTTAGCAGCCTAACGATTCAAAATAACATGTAAAAGCCATGGGAATCCACCGAAGGGCAGAAGCTAGCACCAGGAGAGGACCCGCCACCCGGCCGTGGCCTGACACAAACTTCTGAACACGAGCAGCATTGTCGATCTGGGCTCAAAAGGGCCTCTGAACTGACAGTAAATGCACACAGGATATTTATGCTGGAGGGGTCGCAGTCTGTGGAGGATGCGATCAGAGCATCATATGCAATTCTTTTTTAAAAGGGGCACCCCTGCAAGGTGCTCATACTTTGATACTCAACCATGCAGTATTTGAAAGCAATCAAAAGCTACTGGTGCAGGAAAGCCAGACGATTTCATATTGCCCTGGTACAATGCAGAAAGACTCAGAAGGGGCTAGGTAAAGGTAAAGGTTCCCCCTTGACCATTAAGTCCAGTCGTGCCTGGCTTGAGGGGCCGGGGCTCGTTCCCGTTTTGTAAGTCGAAGAGCCAGTGTTTATCCATAGGCACTTTTCGTGGTCACATGACCAGCATAACTAGACACGGAATGCCGTGACCTTCCCATTCATCTACTAACATTTGAATGATTTTGAATGGCTAGGTTGGTAGGAGCAGGGACAAGCAACGTTAGCTCACTGCACTGAGCAGATTCGAACTGGTGACCTTTCAATCAACAAGGAGCAGGGACAAGCAACGGGAGCTCACTGCACCAAGCAATTTGAACTGGTGACCTTTCAAATCAACTGCCCAGTGGGTCAGCGGTTCAACCTGCAACTCCCCCTGTGTCCCTCCTACTAACTCCCAAATCTAAAGCTTAGGGAGAATAGGGCAGAACAGAAAATCTCAGAGCAGAAGAATTGTAGCCTTTCAGATGCTTTTGGACTACAACTCCCATCTGCTATCGCCAGCATAGCCAATGACGGGGGATTATAGGGACTGCAGCTGAGACCAAGAAGGTCTAAATTCAGACATCCGCCCACACACTCAGCCATGAAACTTATTGGATGATCATGAGCCAATAACTCTGAATCTTCCTAATCTGAATTTTTTTAATGGGAAAGGAGAATCTTTAAACTATTCTGAATGCCTTGGAGAAGGAATACGATAAAACTGTAAAAAAAAAGTTACAATTTTCTGGACTCATATTTTTAAGAAGCAAGTGTTGTTTGCCTAGAAGGGAAGATCAGAAGCGGTCCCATATTTTTCCTGAGGACAAAACGTTTCTGATCTCCGCCTGTTTGAAATTCTTACCCTCACCACACTTCCCTGAAAATCAAGAGATCCGCTTACTTGAAACGCGGTCCAATCGCTGCCACGTGTCGATTCATACTGCCCTTCGATCCTCCAATGTTCAGCGAGAGGGAGCGCTGGAGCAAACTCGAGAAGATTTCCACCTGGTCTGAACTGCAGTACTTCGCAATTTCAAACCGCTGCACCAGGAACTGTGCAAATTAAACCAAACGTTAGATTGATCACCTGCAGCAGCACTAACCACAGTGGCTGCAAGCCACCGTATTTTTCGCACCATAAGACGCACTTTTTCCCCACAAAACAGGGGGGGTGGAAAGTCTGTGCGTCTTATGGAGCGAAGAAAACAGATTATATTTTCCTGTTTTCTTCTCCTAAAAATTGGTGCGTCTTATGGAAAGGTGCGTCTTATGGAGCGAAAAATACGGTAGTTTTAAAGTTCTGCCCTTCACTGCCACAAGATGTGACGACCTTAAAGAGGCTTAGATAAATTTACAGAACTGGTCCACAAGTCACTCAATGCCAGCTATCAAGGAGCAGTGAGAGGGCAGGACGTCCGGGCTTCCCAGAGGCTTCCGGCTGGCCATTCTGGACAACCAGGTGCTCAAATAGATGGGCTTTTGGTATGCAACCCAGAGAGGAATTACACTGTGAAACACTTGCATTCTTACAAGGCCCTGTCAACACAAAATCATGGCCTTATGTTTGGACAGCTTTCTGCGCTGCAAAGTAAAAGGCAAGCATTTTTTAAAGAAAAAAGGTTTCAGAAATGCATATTGAGAGCAGGCCTGTTCCTATCAGGTCTTTCTTCTTATCTCCTACCAAAAATTATCTAGCATTTCTCAAAAGAGGTACTTGCTTCAATCCAGATGTAATGTGGCGTAACCTCTGGCGGACAGGGCTTGGGCTGACTCTCTTCCGAAGCTGCTAACGGGTCGGCTTCTTTCAGCTCGGCAGCAAAAAGGCCAACTTTCTGCTCCACTGTCATCTGCCAGGCTCCGGCCATTTCTCGCATGAACTGGAGGGGAAAAAAAACACTTATTTCCACCCTGCCAACTTCAATCTTACTCTTAGAGCAGAACGTACAGTGACATGAAAAAGAAGCTGAAAATGCACTCTTTTGATTCTGGCTTATTGCTACAGAAAGAAGTTATAACCATCCAGCATCTGCCTCATGGAATGTTTCTGGGACATTCCGCTTAATTATCCATGTATTTCAAAAAGCAACAAGGATCATTTTTGAGAGGAAAATTGTCTCTTGTTATCTCCCTGTACTAGAGATGCTGTATTTCCTCATCCCAATGAGACTATTTCAGAAAAAGAAACCGCAGCAGATTGCAAGCCTGAGATGTTTACCAACTGCCACTGGCCATCTGCCCGTTGTGTAGGAGTGACACATGACTACCTAAGAGAGGGACAGTGGGGGGGATATGGTAATTAAGCAAAGACATCAGGGTTCTGGTGCCCACTGAGCCATGAACCCATATCCCCCTGACACCTCCCTTTAGCTGAGAGGCACTTTGGAGTTTATCTACCATTGCGTGGCTTCTTCGCTCAAGCCAGAGAATACACAGCTCCCCACCTCTTGGTAGCAATTCCTGGGTAACTGCTCACTTCATGATGCCAATCATACACGCTAGCTGTGCAAGACGTCATGTCAGTTTATTGCAAGCACCCCACTTCTCTTCTGCACCCCCCCTGGAAAGAACTCCCCATGATGCTTTGGACAGGATGCAAACTGCATTGAAACAGCCAACTATTCCTTACTTGCTCAGGGGCTTAAATGAGGGGGATGTTGTGAGCCGTAGCTTAGCCAAACTAAGCTTCTCACTTGGTTCCTACTGTGGCAAAATATTCCTGCGGAAAGCAGGAGGAGTTACTCTGGTCGGACAAGGCCAGAACCAGACAATATTCTGTCTCCTGAGAACTGGGGGAAGGGAGGGCACTCGTCTCAATGGAAGCCTCACCTGGATGAGGAAGAGTTGATTTGCACCGGATCCTCTCCTCCCTTTGCCCGAGGAAAGCACGGCTTCTAGCACAGTCTACTCTGAACTCTGACTTGACATTTGAAGAGATGGTTTTACACACAGCCATTCCGGTCACCCACTGGAGAAGTGGATGCATTCATAAAAGCTCACACTGAAATTAACAGTCTCTAAGGTGTTATAAAGCATTCGTTATTTTATTTTAATTTATTTTGTTTCAATTTCCATTTTTCACTTCTGGTCAGATGTCACTCCAGATTCCTGCTTATGAATAAATTTAGTGCTGCAGTCATAAAGGCAGACTGTACAGAGTAAAAGCCAAAACATCCTTTCAGACCGCCTTCTGGGGTACAGGGGCACATGCCATAAGCCTTTTTTGTCTTCCTTACCGGGACTTCTATGCCATTCTTCGCAGCCAGCAGCCATTCCCAGCAGGCAATGGCGGTCTCCATGCCGTGTTCACTGTACATGCGCAGAGGGCCCCAACAAAGATGATGCAATAGCTGAGGGTCAGTGTCTGAAATGGTATTTATTTAAAGTTCTTTCAATGTGCTTTAAAATTGTCTTTTCTATAGGTTAAATCCAATTGCTATTCCTAACCAGAGTACGCCTATTCAATAAATTGTTACGGCAAGCCTTTAGTAAGTCTGATACCTTAAATACCTCTGCTCTAATAGGATTGAATACTTTGTAAGTTACCTTGAACAATCCTTTTGGACAATAAATAGAAAAAAAAATTCGAAAAAGATTTTATCTTTATTACACAATAAAGCATATTAACCATGGGAAAATGTTTGGAGCTTCTAAAACAGCATATTCTAGCATTTTGTGAGGATGCTGTGTTCCTTCCATAAACAGACAGCCTACTTTCTCAGACAAGGTTTGTTAATTCAGTCATATGTACTTTATTCATGATCTTTGACAAACAATCTGACATCAGCTACATTTTCCCTTTCCCAGCCGCTCCCCCTAAGCTGCTAATTTAAACGACAAGTGGCCACAGGGCTGCAGCCAACCCTTGAAAAACAAGGTCCCCTTTAGCTGTTAACTAACGGCTGATTGATGGCAAGAATACTGTTGAGGAAACGCAGAGTGCAGAAGCAAACTGTATAAGCTGTTTCCACCTTCCGGTGAGTGGTCCTTCATGCAGCTGGTCAGGCACTGGCAGCAGAATTAGATGCGCATCTGACTGCCTGAAGGAACCCTCAATCAAGGAACAACCACAGCATAACCCTCCTCCTTCTCATGGCTTAAGGAACTGAGAACGGGAAAATAACAATCACTGGCTGATTAACAAAACAGCTCTATCCATGAGTGACAGACTGCTTGTAAAACAAAAGGATCCTTTAAAATATGTTTTTTAAGATTACAGTGGTGCCTCGCTAGACAATGATAATCCATTCCACTGAAATCGCTGTCTAGCGAAATAATTGTCTAGCGAAAAGCAAATATTCATCTAGCGGAAATCGGTTTACGTAGCAGGGACCAAACATTGTCCAGCGAAATTCCCCCATAGGAATCACTGTTTTGCGAATCACTATAGCAATTGCAAAAAGTTAACGTCTAGCGAAAAAACTGTCATGCAGGGTAACTGTCTAGCGAGGCACCACTGTACTCCTCTGTGGTTTCTCCCTCCCTCCCTCCCTCC